ATCGTTCTAAAGCTCTTAAAAGGTGTTTAGAAAATGGATTTTGTGGGGAGGTGGTTATGGAATGAAAGGGAATGACAATATGCAAGTTTGACAGCGTTCGAACGGGAATTAACGTTGATCCGCAGTTGTCCTGCCTGAAAATAGTAGATCGATCGGCAAATGTCCCAACTGAATAGAGCAAATAAAATTAAATCCATGATGTTCGGCCAGTGAGGAAGTTTCACCACTTATCCTAAGCAAAATATAAACACAACACTTGCAAAAGAAAAGGCCACAACACTCCAAAAAGCATAAAATATAAAACATCCTCTCAAATTCAAAAAATCAACAAAAAATAAAAACAAAAGAACCACCACACAAAATATATAAAATTTACCTAATAGATAATTAACTAGTAATAGATAAATAGGAAAAGAATCAAAAAAGGAATAAAAGCTAGCTGCAAAAGGGAAATATCGAAGGGATCGACTCCCGTGAATGCTGAAGCCTTCAATTCCGCAGGATCACGATTCACATGATCGGAGTCGTGGAAGTCATGATCCCGTGAGGATCTTTCCCGCATAGAATTCTCAAGATACTATAATTGCTACAGTATCGTGTGACTCAACATTATTTGAGATGGTAGACGGGCAGCCAAAACAGTCTGTTTTTCTTTTTATGTTTTATTATTATCTTTCATTCTCTTTTAGTCATTTCTTATATATGTGTTGTATTAGAGTTTGAAGATATTTTTGATAATATTTTCTGTTAGGACGGCTGCCTGCATCCAGGGTTTCCCCTTCTAAGATTGTATCTGAATGTGAAATAGTGCTCCAAGTGTATCTCATCCGAGGTGGTGATCTCCTTCCAAGGAATCAAGTAGTTGTTCTAGTTGTAGGTCGTTTTCGAAGAGGTAGTTATTAATTATCTAACTCCTCCGCAACCTTTTCAGCCACTGCCATTACATCCCTCCCTCTTCATTTCCCTCGCAGTTACAGGCCTCCACCTTGGTTGTCGCCCCTATTCCCTCCCTTACCTTGTTGTTTCAACTATTGTCCAACCCCCCGTACTTGCTACAACCGCCAAGGACAGCAATCTTGCTATCTTTATTCCTACAATCTCACCACCTATTTCATTCATTCTAGCGACTTCCCTCATTGTCATAGCCCTGGAACAGCACTCCTCTTGCTGTCCTGCAGTTCACAACCCTTCCCTTCGCTGCCCCTCGCTGTCTCAGCCCTCCACTTGGCTGTCGCTACTGTTCCAAGCCCTCCGCTTCACCCCCAATGCAATTCCAGCCCCTTCTTTTGCTGTCCCAGCAAACCACAGCCCATTTCAACCTCCTAACACCACTCCCCGACCACCTAGCTAACCTCCAGCAACCTGGGATCGAGCCCTAGTGTGAGTTTGTATCTTATTTTGTTGTAATTTCCCATCCAAGTGTATTTCGTTGTCACCGTCTATTTTTTTTAGTAATAACATTTGCTTTTCCTATTATGGGTTGGGTTCTCCGGTATCACTCTCTCACATCTTCTCCTAGCTAAAATTAAAAAATTACACAATATTCAGCCTCCTCTCATGTCTCAATATCACTTGTTTTTCCTCTTATGACCTCCGAATTCCACTCTTTTTTCCCCTATTGCTCTCCCTCTCTACTCTCTATCAACCCCTCCCTCTTCTTGATTGAATATTCAAGTAACCCTTGATCAAAATTAGCCTCCAATGCTCATCAATTAAAATAAACTAGCTTCCAGCAACGCTCGCATATGCTTTCTTTGAGGCCGCAGAAAATAAAGTCCAATATACACAAGTTCAGTGAGAGATTTGCCAAAAAAAGAGACGTTTAGGATGGGATTTGTATTATAACCCCAAGTAGCAACCAACTATTCAACAATTAAACAATAATTGATAGAAAATCATTATGCGTATGAACAACATATACTACGCATAAGCACAAGGCCAATTGATATTTCAGGTACGCTTACTGGCAATATGTAATCTTTCAAGGTATACCAAGAACAAAAAAAAAACTCATAATAATTTCCAAGCACAAAGATAATCATTCTTAAATTTATAGCCTGAAAGATGCTTGGGAAATATTCAATATCGACAAAGAGAAATCATATCCTTTTTCCCTATTTCCTAGAATGGAATGGATACAAAAAGAGAACTGAAGAAAAGAAAAGTTACAAGCAAGTGGAGCTACAAATGAGCCAAGCATTAGATAAGCTGCCCATGGCTCTTCAATAAGAACTCATTAATGATCGTTTGATTAGCTAATCAAAAGAGTTTGAACACTTATAAATACTCGATTGTTAAATAAATAAATTTAAATAGCTTCCTCGATTCATTTATGTTTACTGATAGAATCATTCAAATATTGTTAACAACCTCGTTAAGAAGCTTGATTACAACTTAATTAAGATTTATTAATTCGGTATCATTTAAATTTTGGAAAATTTACATATCTAGCATAGAATTCTTATGTATTCACATATTACACACCTAAACTTTCATATTTATATACATAATAATTTGGTGCTTTAAACCTATGCATGAAAAGGTATATTTACTTTAAGAAAAAGGTAATAGTGCTATTTATGATATAATAATAATATTTCAAGTACTAATGTGTGTAAATATGAAAGTTTGGGTGTGAGATATCTAAATACATTAGAATTGTGTATTATGTATGAAAATGCCTCTTAAATGTTTATTTTTTAAGCCCAACAAGCCTTGTTTGACATGGCTAATTTATCCAAACAATGGCTCATATTAAGCTAAAGTATGATTTGATAAACGCTAGATTATAGCCTGTTTATTTTTTAAATAAGTTGCTCATTAATAAACTAAATAATTTCTATATGAACTGAGCTCGAATAGGATTTTTGACGAGCATACTCGAGCTCGAACATATTCCAAAAAGGTTGAATTTGGCTCGAGCCAAGCTCGAACAAGCTTTTCATAAACAAGCTTGAACTCAAACAAGCATCTAGTTAGCTCGACTCATTTTAGCCCTACAAGTAAGTTATTATAGTTTATTCTAAAGCTACAAAAAAAACTATCTTCTGGATCCAAATATCATGAAGTAACAATAAACTAAAATTAATGAAAAGTCTCGAAAAATTAGAGCCTACAGTAGAGGTGTGCATTAGGTCGATTAAGATGAATCGGTTTGAAAATTTTACAAACTGAAATCCAGGATCCAATCAACCGAACAAAATAATTTTTCAATGGAACCAAACCAGTCAAACCGAATTTTAATTCGGTTTGATCGGTTCGCTTCTACAGAAACGAAATTTAAATTTTTGATATATTAAAAATAAGAAAACACATACAAATGCAATGACATAATTATAACAAATCATATTCAATTGATTAAATTAATATGCTTACAAAAAATGAAGTTGCAAAAACAAAACTAATGGTTTACAATTTCTACAATCATATATTCAAGTGACATAGAAATGGTTTTCGATCGGTTTGATTTTTTTTTAAAACCTGAATTGTAAACCGTAAACCAAAATATACAAAATTTAAAACCATGATTTGAACCGTTATTTTAAAAACTAAAACAAATCAATAAAACAGTTCAGTTTTTTGGATTTATCCAAACAGTGCACACCTCTAGCCTACAGAAGCAAAAAAATTGACGAAATTTAAAAAAATAAATATAATTTAAAAAAAAACGTAGATGATTTGTAGGGATGAAAAAACTTTTATTAATTAAAATCAATGATGAAATAAGAGGCGTGGGGCGGCGGGTAACATTTCCACCATTATAACTTAAATATCACTTTTCAAGCCTCAAAAGAACAATTAAAAGAAAAATACTTGCCATAGCATGCATAAAGCGGAGTACAACAACATTGCCCTACAGCCTGCAAATAGATAGAGCATTATGCATTTAATAGCAAAAAATTTTAGATCTAAGTCTACAACAACAAGCCTTTATCCCACTAACTGGTTTCGGATACACGAATCCTTTTTCTCCATTGTGTTCTATTGAGTGTCATATTTTGATTTAATTCTATTAAATTAAGATAATTTATTTACAGCATGTCCAAGTCTTTTTAGGTTTACCTCTACCTTTCTTAACAGAAGTCAAATATAAAATATCTACTTTTCAAGCCCATTCATCAGATGATTGAAGTTCAATGTTACCAAACAATATAAGATGGCTCTCTCTAATTTTGTTTGACAATGAAGCTACACCAATCCTTTCACGGATAGATTCGCGTTCTACATTTCGTCTCTGCATTCGTCTCTGCATGTCAAGCCAATCATCCACCTAAGCATTCTCATCTCAGCGACACTTAACTTAATTGTATGCTTCTCTTTAACAGACCAATAATTTGCGTCATAAAGCAATGTAGGTCTCACCACAATCTTAAAAAAATTTCCTTTAAGTTTAAGTGGCATCTTTCTATCATACAATAGGTGTGATGTATTCCTCCACTTCATCCATCCAACTTGAATTTTATTAATAGCATCCCCATCTATATCATCATCACTTTAAACAATAGACCCGAGATATCTAAAATGTTCACTCCTTTTAATGATTTGATCATACATTGTTACAACTCTGCCACTAAATCTCCTACTACTAAAATTACATTCCATGTATTCAGTTTTAGATCAACTCAAATGAACACTTTTAGACTCTAATTTAGACATCCATAATTCAAGTTTTCCCTGACCACTAATTTTTTATCTAAGTCTGAAAAAAAAATTATCAAGGTTTGTAAATTTTAGATATAAGTCTGAAAAAAAATGTTCAAGATTTGTAAATTAACAACGTTGGTGTAAAAAATTTAGGAAAATAAAATTTAGATCCAAGTCTGAAAAAAAAAAGGTTAAGTCAAATTTATTCTCAAATTTTACAAATAAAAACATAACTAAACAAAAAGAAATCAAGCAATAAAAAACAAGAGCTATTGTTTGCCAATTAATAAAAGAGTTTGTGCATACTGTATGTAATACTACATATCGCTGACAAAAAAAGTGTAAATGTGCCTTACCATAAATGCATCCAAAAATGCACTGAAGTGCGGCTGGGAAGGCATTGGCAGCAGTAATACAGCGACAGAAAACAGACATAAGTTGCAAACGAAGTGCATTGTTTACAGGGGTTACTCGGAAATCAGCAGGTAAGCTTTCAACACTGGTGGTACCTGAATTTATATTTCAAAAGAGTATATTAAAATACCACCATAATTGTTAACATTATCTGGCGAAATAATAAGCTGCCAAAAAATGAAAAATTAGACACAGGAATAATGGCGCAGAGCAAAACCAGTTTGAAGTTACAGAAAATCATAGCAAAATTATTGTAAAATAAATTTACAAAATATATGAAGAGACTATGTTTCACCCCATGCCGATTGCTTGGATAGAAATTTGTAGAAGCTGAAGAACAAGCACTTGGATACACTAAATTTCATTATTCATGGTTGCCCAAGAATCAGATAAAATAATATTTTAACGTAAAAATAAAGGGTAGGGGACAATAAAATGTCATAAAATCATCATAATTAGCATTGTCCAAACTATTTTGGAGACGGTAAACAAAATATAAAATCTTCCTATTATTCAATATGACAAGATGAAAGAAGAAGTCTGCTCATTTCAATGTGTTTTTCAGCGTGTATAATATTTTAAATGGCCAGGAACTAAATACATGGGTTTTTAATAGGATTTAAACATAATTGATGATTAGATAGTGAAAATTTGACAACAATAGACTTTAAAAGTGGGATTATGCATGTAATCCTATCCTCCCCACTTTTGCAGATGTTTTATTAATGGTTCAAGTTTAGACATGATTCTATCCGATAACTAGTTACTCCATAAATAGTGGAAATAAAATTTTCAATCCGTTTCCTCAGATAAGGAAAAACCCCAGAAGAGCTCTGGGATCTCCAAAGAAAAAAAAATCAATGGTGAACCACTGCTAATCAGCTGATTGGCAAAAGAACTGCAGTCCTCCAACAGTATTCCTTTGGAGATCCCATAGCTGATTAGCAGTGGTTCACCATACCCAAAACTATGAGGACTCATTCACCAATAAATATTGGGAAATTATCACTTATTATATTAGAGAAACACTCATGATCTTACACTCTCCCATCCTAAAGTCCCCATCCAAATCTCTTCCAATTTTCAGCTGTTTATAGGCTAAGAAATGAAATATTTTGCCAATTAAATGAAATGTTTGATGGGGAAATAGTGGGAAGCTAAATGTGCAGGTTAATGAGGTGGTGGTGTTTGTTAGAAAAAAACATTTAATATCTGATAAATACATCATCATTCTCTCTTACATAGAGAAAAATTGGATTTGAGTTTGATATTTAAGAAATATCTCTTCTCCGTCTTGGTTAATTGATGCTGGTAGAAATGAAAAAGCTATACCAAATTGATATAGCCTACAAAAATAAATCAGAATTTTAAAATAAATGGAAAGAATAATTTCATTACTACAAAAGAGAAACAACACAAGATAAATGAGGATGCTCACCCATGACGAAAGCGGAATTGCTCGATTAAAGGAGATTCATTTAACTATTACATTGAGGAATTACAAATCTGAAAAACAAGAATCTCTTGCTCTTGAAGCACGAATACAAATAAAAGGACACAGTCACGACACAATACGGACATGACAAAGCATAATTGCAAAAATTATGACACAAAATACAGTGGACACGGTTTTATATTTAAAAATTTATTAATATGAAATACAAAATTTTCAATCATTCTATAGTAAAGACATCACAAAATGAAACATAATATCATAGTTGAAATTTTCTATAAATAAAAAAAACATAATTAATAATTAAAAAAATATTTTATTAGGAGCATTCATTTGTATACCATCATATCTCTGTCATGGCTTATCATGTCATCATATCTTGCAACGTCCCATCGTGCTGGTGCCATGTCAAAGCCCAATTTTATAATATAAAAAAAAAATCTGGAAACAGTTTATGGCATGTCGAACATGGGTTGGAGTGTGTCATAATCATGTCCGTGTCCGTGTTCGTGTCCTAGTCCAACACAAACACAAAGGCTATTCAAAAGTGCTCATGCTTCTTAGCCCTTTCTCTCTCATCCTTAAGCACTCTCCTTCAAATGTCATCCATTTTTAAGCCTTTCAAGAACTCAAAAACTCTTTGGCCAATTGAAAGAGGTGTAGATATGGGCGGGTTGCTTTTGAAAGAACAAATAATTGAGCTAGTCAATGTCAAGCATTAGTTGAAAAGTGCAATAAACATCCAAATATCCAAAAGAAACTTGATCATCCCTCCTGATTATTTATTTTTCCATGAAAATTCAAAAATTGCACATAATCTATTTCACCTATTTTGTTGCCCAACTTCCAACTATCTTGCCTCCAGCAAAATTCCTAGCCTTCCTACCAAACAATTCTATCTCCTATTTATTACTTAATACACTGAAATTTAAATATTGTGCATAGTCTCTCTTGAACCAACTTTGAACTTGCATGCCTCCACCACTAAGCATCCCCTTACGTACTGAAAATCATTCCCAAGTAATTTCTCTAATTTACTTGATTCATGCACTTCCACTAAGCACTAACTTCTCTCTATGAAAAACTTCGCAAAAATAAATAAATATTCAGATGCTTCTAGTATTCCATTACACCTTATTATCAAAATCCATGAAACTAAAATAATTTCCAACCAAAGAAACGTTCCACCCGATGCACACCAGATCCCCATCCATCAACAGAACAATAGGTTAATAAGCAAAAAAGCTTCACAATTTTAAGCCATAATTTTGCGCATAAACTAAAATGTTAGGCTTCAAAATGCTAGGCCTCTTGGATTTCCAATAGTGCTTTCTATTATAAGTTACATTATAGATAGGTAAGCTCATTTTTTATATTTTTTGTTCATAAAAAACATATGACCCTTGAAGCCTGTTTGTCTTGGTACTACTGTCTCAGCAGCCTTCCAATACAAATATAGAGCCACTAACAAATATCTAAGTTAACAGTAATGCTAATACCAAGTATCTTTCAATCAAAAAATATATAGGCATCCACATGGTGTGTTGTGCTTCGCGCATGAACCATTTGATTGTTAAAAATGTGTAATCAAAAACTTAGAAACATATTTGGTCCTACAAGCGCCTCAACAGAATAAAAAATCTAACACTAAATTTATAGCACATAATATTCTAAAAAAAAAAACTACATAGATGGCGAACAAATCTAATATTAATCTATAATAATAGAAAGTAAAACTGCTCACCATTAAACAGGATAAATAGTTTTTCTATCAAATCAGAGTCATCTAAATTGACACCAGCGGTCCTGCGCTTTAGTAAATCCTCTCCTCTTTTAGCAACAGGATCTTGACTTTAAAACAGTATAAGACAGACAAATATCAATGAGATGCCTCTCTTGTGATTAAATGAATACAGCCTTGTTGCAACATCAACCAATAAACAAGTACCTATCAGAAGCAGCAGCTAAATAAAGAGGATAGGCCAGCCCAGGTGCTAGCTGCATTGATTCGATAATATGCAAAATCCCAAGCTGCAGAAACAAAAAAATAACACGGAAAAGCATCAAAGCCAAAGTACTTAAATTAACAAACAAAAGACGACTGTTTAGCAGTTTACAATAACTTCAAGCATAATTAACAAAGCTACCTTCCTCTTTAGCAGAACATCTCCTTTCAATGGAAACTTTCCTGTAATGCGATCGGATTGAGCCAAAGAAAGCCCAGCCGGGCAGCCAACGCTTCAAGTAAAAGATTGATAAATAGGAGATAAGTCAACAATCTATTGGCAATTAATCATTGTAGTCCACAACAAAGATGACATACCCAAGTGATGGCGGTTGGTATAAAATCGTATGGAGACAAAATTCCACAAAAAGTTGTTTGTCCTTACCATCAGAAGACTTGTATTTCACATAAATCTTTTCATCAAGCTGACTTAAATCGCACTCACCAATTGCCTAAAATAATCAAAGAATATCTTCCATATTTTATGAATTCAAAACTAAAAACAATAATCAGAAAGTAGGAAATTATAAATCAAAAAAATATGTTGAATAGAATGGAATTCTAGAAAATATTTCCCACTTTTATGATACAAAACAATAGCAAACCCAAAGCAAAAGATAAAAATAAAATAAAAAATTGCAAGAAGATTAAGTTTTGATGCTTTACAGCAAGCTTTTTAGCAAGGCGTGACATCTCAATTGGCCATGTTAGAAGCCAAACCAACTCAATCTATGCAATTTGGCTATTGTTAATCCATATCTTAACACCATACATTCACAACTAATCCTCCAAAAATTTCAGAGTAACAATATAGTGTGCATTAATCTAACCAAACAGTATTAAATTAATGACATTATCAAAAACTAATCTGCTAAATGTTATTTCACCATTTTACTCTATAATTCAACTGTGCAGATTTTTTTCAACCACTTGAGTTCATTTGATTTTTTTAGCTTCTCCTCATGCTTATTTTTAGAGGGTTTCTTATGTACCTTGCCATAATTAAGAGATGTGAGTAGAAGGCATCATCAGCCTTAATAAGTGGAACCAGAAGAGTGTTTCTCAACCCAATTAAGTGGAAACAATTCATAAGGGATCAATATATGTGAAAAAGATTGCCACAATCACAATATTGTTTGCAATGAAAAGTATCTGTACAAGTGACAATGTATCAAAGATTTGTTACCTATATACAAGTGCTTGTTGATTATTTGCATATGTAAACATTCATGCATGTCTAAATAACTTGCTCGTGTGAGTGCCTTGTTGATGTATAATCACAGGTGCTTTACTTCATTTTTATACTCAAGTTTACATGTGCGGATTATAGAGTTAGAGTATCACCATTTGCATCATGAATAACTTTATCCCAATTGTTTGGGCTTTAGCTTCATCTTCATCAATATCTACTGATTATTGTGCAATGTTTGAAAACTATTGTGTAAATACTTTTGGCCGACATCTACACACCCGTGGTCAAACCACTTTCCTTCTTAAATTCTCGGGCATTTACGTACATACCACGCAATTATTATGAATTTACATACCTAACACCTAAATTCTACTTTTTAGATTTATAACATCCAAATCTTTCATATCACATAAAAATACCACATTTAAACTTTAAAAAGTGAAATACACATTTACATACATAAGGAATGGCATGCATGTAAAAATTAAGGTTTAGGGTCCGTTTGGAGCAGCGGCGCAATACCGCGCCACATTTTTCAATTGTTTGGGGTGGAGGTGTCGCTGCGGCTATCCGCATTTTAACCAAAATACGGGTCGTCTCGCAGACCCCGCGACCCAGCGCCCTGCTCGACTTTTTACCATCGTGCCCTCTATTATCTTGCCCTAACTCGAATCATTCAAATTTACCTCGTGCCCAACCTGGAGACTACAATCTTCCCCTCCTCTTCCTCCTCTTCTCCGACGTTGCTCACGCTACCTGGTTCCCCTTCTTCCTCTTCTCTCGCTTTTCTCACGCTGCCTGGTTCCTCTTCCTCATCTCCCTCCTTTGTTTCCCATTGGTAAGCACTTTGCTTTTCTAAAAAGTGTGAATGCTTGTTTGTTGGATTTGTGATGTCAGATGTGAATGTTGTTCGGTGGCATGGATGTGTGGTATGTGGTTGTGTGGCTCGAATTTGTTGGCTCGAATTTGGTGTGGATGTAGCTGATTTTTTTGTCAATGAGGCTGTGGGTGTGACTGTGTGGCTTGAATTTCTTGTATGCCTCGAATATATTGTGGATGAGTCTGCGTTGGTGTGGTTGTGTGGCTCAAATTTGTATCGCTTGAATTTTTTCTACTGTTCTGAAGTTGTTTTTTTTCTCGGATATCAAATATATTGTTATAACAATTCTATTGCAAACAACATTATTACACAGGGGCGGAATGGTCATTTATCCAGAAACAGCTGTGTGACAGTTGTTTTCAAACCGTAAAAAACAAGCAGGCGGCCAGCTTTACCGCAGCAGCTTCCTGGGGCAGCTAAGCTGCAGCTGATAAGTTGATAAGTTGCAGCTGCCCCAAACAGACATTTAGTTGTTTGATGCGTAAATAAATAAGAATTGAGTTGTATAAATGTAAATCTTCCTGAATCCTTCAATGTTATTTTAAATTTTTCATCTTGAAGGTGCATTATCAACCCTCTATCTCAGGTGTCCAAATCATTTCTCTATTTTTTTAATATACTATCTTCAACAGATGTTACTCATATTATTGCAAAAAAACATACATTAATTAAATGGTTTAAAATCCAAGCAATTGAAATATATGAGTAGAAAAAGGATTGAAATAACCACCATAAGTGACAATGGCATCTTAAAAATCCTATTTCAACACCTAAGGGGCTATCTGATTGCAAGTAAGATTTAATTTAAATAGGATTTAGTAAATTGTGTAAATCTGAATTTATCAAATCCTTTTGTGATTAAATCATAAAAACTGTTTAGTATGTTAGTAAGTAAATCCTAATAAATCTTGAGAAACTGTTTAGCAATATTTAAAAATATTTAATAGGATTTAGGTTGTTAAAAGCCTTCAAAATAGGCATCTGTCAAAAACATAAATCCTATACTTCAAAAACATGTTTTCAAAAACTTCCATATGATTTCCAAACAGATTTCGGAGTTAATAGCTTAACATTGCTTATTAATGATATAATTATTAAGTCAAAGTAATTTTATTTTAATTTATTATTAATAGATATACTCATAAATAATTAAATATTTATTAAGTAATTAATCATTATTAATAATTTAACTTAACTAAAGATAAAAAATAATAATTTAACACTCATTAGTTAATAATTAATTTCTAATTTATTAAACTAACTAATAATTGTAGGACTTTACTAAATTAATTAAATTTAATAAGTAATTTATTTTTTATTATTAATAGTTAAATAAATACATATAAATTTCTATAATTATAATTAATTTGATAACATTTTAATTTATTATTAATTATTTATCATATAAATTAACTTAAATAAAATTAAATTAAAACCACAAAACCATCTTCCCCTTTCTGTCTCCTACCCAAATCCTTGCTCAAAGCCTCTCCTCTCCTACTAGTTTTGCCCAAAACTATCACATCCATGGCTAAACTCTCGCAATGCAAGTCGCGGTTTGAGCTGGGAAGGCAAAAACGGGATCGCGATGTACAAAGACATCTAAAACTTCCATCTTTCATCTAATTCCGATCCGCTCCCCCGCATTCACGAGTTTTAGGCGGTGTTTGGCTGCATTACGGATTTACGTTAAATAGGATTTAGCAAATTTGAATTTATCGAATCTATTTTGATGGAGAAAAGCTTTGAAGCCATCGATTGTAAATGCGCCTGCGACTCGGATTTACCCCAGGAATAAAGACGAAAAGTGGGGAAAACTGGCAAAACATGGGGAAATTTGATTTAACGGACTGTTGGATTTAATATTTAATTTTGTTCTTTTTGGATTTATGGTCTGTTTGGGGTAGTTTATAACTGCGGGCGGCGTTTTGAAAACGTCGGCATGTTGTTTGTTTCGCTCGTTTCTCCAGCTTATCCCAAAACTGTGTTTTATATTTGTTAAACAAGCGACCCGCGGGAAGATCACTATGGGCCGTGTTCGTTCGGATCTTTTACTCCCGTGCTCTCCTCGCTAGGGAACCCATCGCGCATTCCTCTGCCTAGTCGCTCCTCCCTCTTCTTCAGCAATCCTTCTCGACAGGGAGACAGACTGATCCTATGGAGGGATCAGTAGCGAAGAGCTTGGCTAGGCTGAGTTGGTCACTGAGGAAACGAGAGAATGGCGCAGCACGATGTTGACCTCATTTTTAATGAGGTCTTAGTCTCCTACTCTCAGAACCCATAATCTAGCCTTAGGAGTTCCTTGTTGACCATCCTAGCGGACTAGTAATGGAGCCCACCTCTCGTAGAACTTCAAACCGCTTCTTGACTTTTTTTTTAAGAACTCGCATGAGTGGTTTCAAGCACTCAACTTTTAGTTGCAAGGGCTAAGGACCAACATGCAGAGGGCCCGAAAATGAGTTCCTATATGAACAAACAGCCTTAGGCGAACCCCTTGTGACTCGATTACTCGCGAACGCCGCAATTCACGCACTCACTGCACCACACACGACTTTAACTTGAATCGACTCGACCGTCGGCAAAATTGTCCGGACGACCCTGTATGACGAAATAGACCACGCCGACGCGTCCGGAACGTCAACTTTAGCTAGGAAGGACCCCTGTATTGTTAGGGTTACGCGCGCACACAAATAACACAAAAATCGATGTATTTTTTTTCTTTAGCGGGATGCGGGCCCGGACTCAACTCATGTTCAACTTGAATTCGATTTAGGCTGGACTCGAGCCTGAACAAGAGTTAAGTAATTTGAATTTCAAATTTCAAATAAAATATTTAATCCAGTTTTAATGAAATTAAATTAGGAGTTATTATATGCCAAATAAAAATCCTACCCCATTGGAAATTCATCAATTACCCGCCCATTATCGCATAACAAACTTTTTGGAATTCCTCGAATACAAGATCCCGCTTAGCTCCTTCCT